GGGGCTAACAGACACAAGACCTGGTCTGCCATCCACAGAGAGATGATGAAAGCAGCTCCAACGCCAAGTAGTTGTAATAACTACCATTACTAGAGTAGCAGCAACAGGACTCCATAGATAGGAGAAATTGAAGAATAGAAACATCTTAAGTTTGTGGTGTTCATGGAGCAAGAGTCATTCTCTGAGATGGTAAGACAGAGAAGGACACATCTAAGAGAGAACTAATGGTTTCAGACACGGGCACACTGAGTTGGAAGCAGCCACAAGTCATCACTAGGGCAGAGACAGCCTCATTGAAAATGCAATCAAAATCCTGGCTTGGTGGTACACGCCCTTAATCCCAGCACTCTTGAGGCAGAGGCAGGAAGATCTCTGTGAGTTCAAGGCCAGCCTAGTCTATGTAGAGAGATCCAGGACAGCCAGGACTATATAGAGAAACCATGTCTCAAGAAACAAAAAAAAGAAAGAAGAAAAGGAAGAAAAGAAAAGAAAATGCAGTTAAGAGCTTAAGTAGCAGCCAGGCAGTGGTGGCACATGCCTTTAACCCCAGCATTCAGGAGGCAGAGGCAGGCAGATCTCTGTGAGTTCAAGGCCAGCCTGGTCTACAAGAGCTACTTCCAGGACAGCTAGGGCTGTTGCATAGAGAAACCCTGTCTAGAAACAAACAAACAAACAAGAACTTAGGCTGCCTGGATGATTCAGCCCTGAAAAAAAAAATGAGTGGCATGAGAAGAGGACTCAGGGAGAATGCAAAAACCATTGACCTTTGGAGAAGCAGGATGAATGAACAGTAGAGAGGCAGGATGGGAATCAGGAAGGCAGAGCCATGCCTCTTCCACGGAAGACAAGGCTCAGGAAGCAAGCAGAATCTCCAGGCTCAGGAACCACAATGCCATCACTTTGAACAAAAGAAGAAAAATACCTGCTGGTCTTGGCAAGAACAAGATTCTGCTGGGTACGGTTGACTCCAATTTTGCAATGCTACAGATGGGTCAGAAGGCTCAGGAGCAAGCGGGGTCTGCAGAGCCAGGGTAGTGGGCTGGGAACTCTTGAGAAGCTTGTTGGGGAAATTATGACGGACAGTAAATGGCGGGAATGTCTTGGGCTGTGCATTTCCCAAAATGAGCCTCACTGTTGTCTAGCCAACGAGGGCTAGATGGAACCCTGTCAGTCTGAAGACTCATACATGCCCCTCTCTAAACATTTACCGTAAGTTTGGCGTGGATCCTTTCACTCCCAACATTGTTTTCAGGAAAATTTCCAGATCCCAGTACCAACACCACTAATATGTACTGACTGCCCGCTAAGGGCTGTGCTGAGTACTATCCGTGGATTGTCTTACTTATTCTCAGAGAGGTTATCAGGAAACTATTGACAAAGAAGGAAACTGGGGCTTGGGAACTGTGATTTGGTGTCACAGTTAATAGAAAGTGGACATTTGGAATGTCATCCCCCTACTTAGAGACGGGGTGCCCACTGGCCTGGCAACCACCGGTTATACTAGGCTGGCTGCCCAGTGGGCAAATCTCTGCCACCGCAGCATTGGGATTACACATACGAGCCACCATGCCTGGCTTTCAGGTCCTCATGCTCGCATTACAAGCATTTTCAGTACTCTGAGCCATCTCCCCATCCCTACTTTGCCCATTTTATAGACAAAGAAAACCCAGGTCACACAGCTAGCAAATGGAATACCTGGACCCAAACCCAAGGTGGCCTGATACAGTAACTTCCCAAGTCCTCATGCTTCCAGCCATGGCCATAGGCAGCTGTTCCTCATCCTTTGACCTCAGGAACTTTGGGCGATCCACTAGGTGAGATGAATAATAAAGGTGTTATAGGAGGGTAAGATGTAGCTTGCAGGAATAAAGAAGAGGGACAAAAGCCAAGGTCATGAGGACCATAGCTTGGAGTCAAGGCTGCCAACACCCTCTCTACAGTCCTCTCTCTCGCTCTGCCTGGCTTTCTACAGTGGGTAGGAAAGATGCCCACAGCATCTAGCATGCATCTAAACAGGAAGAAACACTCTTCCTCCTATCATTAACACATATGTGGGAAGGAGTCTGGTTGGTACTATGCCCACACCTTGGAGCAATCACTGTGGCTGGAGGATGGAGGTCTATGGTTGGTGTCATCTGAGTCACATGTCTGCCTGATGGCAGTAGAGCAGGGATGGATAAAATTTTAACTGACAACCTACCACGAATATGTGACAATAGAGAGACATTTCCCAAAGGAAGAGGATGTCAGAAGTGAGGTGATGGAAATCAGGGAAGAGCAGAAGGAGCCACTAGCTGTCACTGTCCATGTGAGAGCCAGGAAGGACACACACAAACATCCCCACATGGAGTTCGCAGCCTCCAAGAGAAACACAGTTACAGACATGATAACATTAATAAGAGCTGATATTATCTACCATCTCTGGGCATCTACAGGGGCCTGGTGCTATCCTGGAAAGTGGGTACTGCTGTTACCCCACTTTTGTCTAAGAGACAGTAAAATAAACAACAATCTCCCCACCCCTCTGCCCTATACTAGCCAATTCAGAAAAATATAAAAATTTTATGGGTCCCTTATCCCCACTCACAAAGGATAAATGACTTGCTTGGGGTCACACAGCTAGCACACAAAAACATACTGGGAAGTATTTGGTTAAGGGCAAAACAAAGCTTCCTGTAGACTAAGGATTAGAGAAGACTACCTAGAAGTGGAGGAGGTAGTGGGGGGAGCAAAGCTGAGCCTGGAGGATGGAACATCTGGCTGAGTGTACAGGGAAGTGAGAGCGGTAATCCCCCCAAACTCAGGGAAGCAAGTCTGAACACTCGCACATCTGTCTGGTCCCTCCGTTCTATGGCAGATCTTTCAAGATTTCTACTCAGAAACACCTTCTCTGAGTATGCTCTTCTCAGTTGACTCCAGTCAGCCCAACCATCTTCACGGGATTTGTACACTGGCCCCTGCATATTCTGTCTTGGCGCCTCCTGTAGAGTCCGGCTATGGAAGGGTGCTAGGCATAGTTTGAGCCACAGCAAAGACAAAAGAAATATCACCTCCCCTTTCCCATACACTGAATTTTCTAATGAGAGCCAAGATCAGTTAGTAGGTATTAATCTGAAACCTCACAGGCTCTCGACACTCCCAAGTCCAGTGCATCACCCCAATTGTGGCCAACAGCAGATAGTTCCAAGCCTAAGATGAGACTCAGTTCACTGTTTCGGGGTTAGTTCATGCTTGGTACTGGCTGTCCCCCAGCATCATAGCTTCTGCAGACGCAGGGTTGGGACTGTGTGACTTCCATGCCATGGCCTTGATGTATTGACTCTGGACTCTATGAACTCTAGATAAAATGTCCTTGGCTACTGAGTGCAGTTTGTCACAAATTTAAACTTACCTCTCAAGTGAACCTGTCCCCAGTCCAGACAGCTAGGTACCATCAAAAGGCAATAGAGGAGGAACTTCCTGGTGCTTTTTTATATGGGAACATAATATAATCTCTGAGAGGACTCAGAGGCCAAGTTAAACTATTAATACCTATACCACCATAACTGTACTGAAACCTGGATCCCTTGAACCACCTTAAAATTTCATCCAGTTCCCAGCCCTCCCTGCCTCTCTGATTCAGGGTCTCGACTTCCTGTCTGTCCACCTTTTGAAATGTCTTCCTCACCAGCCATTCAGTCTTAAATCCCAACAATTTGGATCTTGTCATTTCCTACTCACCCACCTACACACAGAGCAAATTGTCCCTGCCAGTCACCAATTGCCTCCTAACTGTGAAGGCCAAACAACACTTTCCTTCCTTCTCATCTTTGACACTGTTGTGTCCAGCCTTTCTGTGCTGGGGAGCTCAGAGCCTCTCTATGAAGGGTCCACAACTCCATTCCCTGGGCTCTGTTCCTACCTCCCTGATTGCTACTTCCCTTTCTCACTCCTGGGCTCTTCCAAGCCGCCAGCCTGGTTCTGAAGCTGCTAACATTTCTTCTGCACAGCTAACCTTCTCTGAGGATGAGCCAAACCCACGACCACAAGCCCAGCACTGTTAAGCCCCAGCCCTTCTAAGAACAGAGATCTATTTTCCTTCTCTGCATGGCCTAAACTTCTGCTCTTCATGCCAGACCACGCAGATACACACAACCATTGTCTCAGCCTCTCCTGAGCCCTTTTTTCCACCCACCTTCCCCCTTGGGTAGCTGATGCCCTTTTCTCCCAGGTCACAGTCACCCAGACTCCTACTTCTCTGTTAAGATTCAGCTCAAGGATTGCTTTCCTGGGAAAACCCTTTAGGGGTGGGGGACGAGTGGCTGGCCTGTGCTTCTTCCTCAGCACCCCATACCTGCCACGTTACCAAAGCTTCTAGAACTTGCCTGTGTTCTGCATGCACCACCCTTCGGTTTGCTCAAGAATGCCCTCTTGGGTTACTTTTCTTCCTTAGCAGAGCTAGTAGGGATCAAGGCCCGCTGAAGGCCCTGAAAGAAACAACAACAAAACCAACGAAACAAAACAAACAAACAAAAAACTGTTGAGAACTTGGATGAAGAACAAGAGGAACCGAACCACCAAAAACAAACAACAAACAAAAAAACACTATTCACCAACCCCTTCCTCTCAACCAGAGTGTGGCACACAAATAGACGTTCAGTAAAGGTTGGTTGGATTCTATTTACTGAACTGACACAAGATTTGGGACAGTTTGCGGTGAGGAATGATGGCAGAGGAGGAAAAGAGACTGAAGGGGAAGCCCGGGACGCACCGCAGTGGGCGAAGGAGGGTCAAGAAATTGTGTGAAAGGGGGGAGAGGGAACTTGGAGTCAAGTCCCGGGCTCCGTGCGCCCCAGGCAGCGGGCGGCAGCCAGGCTATCCCTCCTCCAGCCCCGCCAGCGCCCAGTCCTTCCGGCACCCTGGGGTGGCGAGACCCCCCGGCTCGAGCGCTCGGCTCCCGGCGCTGGGAGGCGTGTGTGTCGCTTTAAAAGCTCCCTCCCGGCGCGCGGGGCCGGCCCCTTCCCTGCCAGCGCCGAAGCGAGCGGAGCCGCGCGAGCCCGGCGGCCTTTGAGGGAGCCAGCGCCCGCCCGGGCGGCCAGTCCGGCGGGGCGCGGCGGCGCTCGGGGGAAACCGGCCAGGCCCGCGGAGCCGGGAGGGTAGCGCAGGGTAGGGCGAAGGCGAGGCAGCCCGGGAGAGAGGCCCGAGCCGCCCCGGTGCCTTCTTTGCCCCATTGGCAGCCACCGGGCGCTCGGGGCCGCGAGGCGCGGAGCCGTGAGCGAGCGCGCAGGAGGCGGTGGAGCCTAGCGGAGGCTGCGCGCCCCGTGTGCCCGGCCGGGCCCGCCGCGCCTCCTCCATCGCCTCCCTGGTGCCTCGCTCACCCCCTCTGCTTTCCTTTGCTTCTTCTGCTCAGCCCCGCCGTGCCGAGATCCCTAGACCTCGTGCGTTCATCTCGGCAGTGCTGGACACCGGTCCCCCAGACCACCGCCGCCTCCCCTCCCCCGGGACTCGAAGGAATCCGGACTTTCCTCATCGTGGATCGAGCCGACTGCCGGCTAGGCTGAGCGGATTCTCCGGCCGCTCCGGACGCCGCCCGGGCCGGAGCACGGACATTCTGGGTCCTGACTGAGTGCACCCCGGACGCCTGTCAGTGCCTGCTCGGAAAGGGCAAGGCAAGCCAGGGGCAGGACAGACCCCGGAGGGGCCCCAGACCCGCCGAACTGGACTGGACAGAGAGAATCGAGAACCCTGCGGAGCCCGGGGAATGCCGGGCGTGGGCTGAGGGGATCCCGGCGCCCTCCCCAGCCCTCCGACTTTGGCTCAGTCGCCCGGACCGGACCGGCGTCGCCTCGGCCCGGGTCACCTGTGGCCTCGGGGCCCCTGAGCCCACCGGACCCTTGCAACCCGTAGCCTGGCGGGCGTGGTGGGAGATTTTTCCTGCCCCCTTCCCCGGAGTGCAGAGGCCCCGCCCCCTCCCACCGCCCAGATGTCTCCGGTCACAGCTCGGAGGACCTTCCTGAGGCCAGGAGCCGAAGGGTCCAGAGAGAGAAGTCCGCCCTAGGGGAGCCTTGGGGGCCCCCCAACCTCGTCTTGGGGCTCGGCCCCCGACGCTGCTTGGAGGAAAGACCGGTGCCCCCATCCTCTGTAAGTCGGGGAGTCCAGCTTCCGAGGGAAGGCGGGGCTGGGGGAGGAAGACCGCTGGGAAGGAGGGCACCCTGTGGGCATTGAAAGAGGATGGAGGACTGGAGAGGGCCTGTGCTGAACCAGTCTGGCCAAGCTTGGTTGGTGGCTTGGGGGGGGGGGGGTTGGGGGTAGAAACGATCATAGCTAGAGTGCCCCAGAGGAGGCTGAAGACTTATGCCTCTAAACCAGGGGCTCCTCCGCTCTTCCTATAGAAAAGGGGTGCGCTAAAAACCATCTGCCTCCACCATCCCTCCCCACAAACAAAAATAAATAAATAAATCTCCAGCGAGGAAGGAGGGTGCAGGCAAGGGAGAAGAGGGAGGCAGCAGCAGCAGGCTGGTGCAGCAGCCTGGGAGGGCTGACGCCAGGCTCGCTCTTTCTGCAGGGGGCTGCCCTCCTCCAATCCAGGTCCCTCTCCTGCGCTGTTCACATCTGGAGCCCCCTCCACATCTGGAAGACCCTGACAATCGTCCCTCTGCAGGTTCAGCTGCGTCTAGAGACCTCTGCCTTTGTAACTGCCTAGGAGTTGCGAGGGGATTGCTGCCTTCCCCCATCCCAAGGGCATCTCTTACCCTAGTCCTTGCAGAATCATCCCCCTGCCTCCACACCCAGATTCAGGCAAAGATCAGCTTTGTACACCACAGGCTCTTCAAGTCCTGGAAGCTGTTCTTGGGCCCTAAGGTCCCTCCCCTTGCCCTCTTGTGTCCTCACCTTGACCCCCCCCCCCCCGACTCTGTCTCCCTCTGGGTGCTCCATCCCCCACCCAGAGGCAGAGTAGGTCGAGTGGCAGGCTGCAGGGGTTGGGTGAGGGCCGCCCAAGGCCAGGGTAGGCTGGGGGGCCGTTAAGATGTGGAGCTCTGCCCGGCCGAGGGAGGCTCCGTGGAGGCAGGCAAAGCGTGTGCCCCGCTGGGGCGAGTATGGGCAGGCTTGCGGCCACGTGGTGAAGGATGAACATTCGGGGTGCCCCAGACCTCGGGCAGCCCAGTGACAACCCCAACAGTGGTGGAGAGAGAGAGCGGATTCGACAGCGCATGAAGATGGTCATCGGGCAACTTGAAGGCATCCTGAAGGAACTCAAAGAAGTGGCTAAGGAGCTGAGGGAGGTGAGTGAGAGGCGGGGGGGTGGGGAGGGATGGGGGCACACAGACCTTAGCCCTGCCTGGCTGGGCTCAGCATCAAAGCATGTATGTGTGTTTGAGTGTGCAATGCTATGTGCACATGGCATGTTCCACAGAGGCCCACCCTTCTCATTCTTTCTTCAAGTCTGTTTTGCTAAAAAATCACTGTCCCCAGAGCTGGTGGGGCCTTCGTGTGGTGGTGACTGTTTGAGCAGGTGCCAGTGGGCCCAGCTCCATAGTTAGCACTCAGGGTGCCCAATGAGGACTAAATCTGCCCCTCGCTACTCTTAGTGGGACACATTCTTCTAAAACCCAAACTGTCCTTTGACCCCACTACTTACCTCCCAGACTCTAAGCAAAGGCTCTAGGAGCATGTGGATGGCTCACCTTAACCGATCCCCACTGCTTGAGGCCCAGCTCAAAAAGTATTACTTCCAGGACCACACAGATACTCCAAACCTTAATTTCCAAAAGGGGAGAGGGGTTACAAGCAGTTGTGGCCTCCCTGTCTTAGGGTGAGGATGTGGCTGGAAAATGTGGGGGGGATCAGAGGTCCTGTACACTGAAGAAGAGCTCTTTTATGCATATGTGACCCCCCCCCCCCCAGGCATGCTTCTGGATGGTTTTTGCAAAGACCAGAAAGTCACCGAGAAGCCCTCTCTGGCTTTCTAATCGGAGCCCAGTTTAATTACTGCTTCCCACATTGCTGGAGTAATGAGGTACACATGTCTTCCACCCTGCCCCCTGGGCAGTGTTCAAGTCCAAAATGCATGACCAGCGTTCTGAGCCGCTGGCCTGAATTTGCCCGCTGGGTCCCATTTCAACAGCCAGGTGGGCTTTAGGCAACTTTCAACTCCTTGTAACCAGGGCCCCTGCAGAGACAGAAGCAGAATGGATCATTCTGAGTTATGAGCCCCAGCTTCCCCCCCAGCTGCATATCCAGGGAGAGGGCTGTAGAAGGCTGTGGAGATAGGGCAGGCTGTGAGCAGTGTGGCTTTCCACCCTGGCCTGAATTCAAGGCACGGAGAGGGGTTCCTTCTTTGAAGGGAGCTGTGACTTGGAGAGTGACAGAGATGCCAGGGCTGTTAGAGTAGACCTTGAGGGTCCAAGGTCTGCCTCATGAGACCAGCCAGGAGGTCCTGTCTCCAGATGTGGGGATGGCGGGCGCTTCAGGCAGGCAGAGGTGGTGGTGCTCCTGCCCGTATGCTGGGCTGGTATGGTCTGGACTCCATAATACAATCTGGAAACCAAAGGCCACAGGTCCCTGAACAACCCTTCCTCTGACCTCATGAGTCCAAAGTATTAGGTTGTCCTCTCCTACCCTGTCTTATTCTGGATCCTCTGTGGTTTAATAGGGGCCTTGAGAACTATCCAAAGTCTTGGCCTCAGGCAGGATCATGGGACCCAACCAGAGCTGGTATTGTGCATAATCCTGGAAGTCAGCCTTGGTACAACTCCCAGTGGGGCAGGCCTTTGCCTCTTCTCCCTTGGCATAATCATCCAGAACTTAAAGGGATCTCACAGGTAGTCCACGCAAACCCTGTCCACTTCCTATGGAAGAAACTGGGGTCCGGAGAGGAATAGGGGCTTACCCAAGGCTACACAACCCACCCATGACAGAATTGAGTCTGGAACTCAAGATTCCCAGTGCCTATTTGAAGCTTCAGCAGGTGGGCTATTGTGTAATCTCAGCATTTTGACAGGAGCTACCAAAGATGCTTGATGCTTGTGATTTGACGCCCAAGTGCCAGGGTTAATTTGTAGAGCTTTTAATTGCCCCCATCTTCCCTTTCATACTCACTGATTCCCGCGCCTCTCACCCCAGAGCTCCAGGTGACAGTCTGCACACACCAGAGGTCTGAACCAGGATAAAGTGATGAGTCCCCTCCCCCACATCTGTAGGCCATGTGTCTCCACCCAAGACTTTGGCAGGTTGCTATGGAAACCAGAGTCTACCCCGTATGCCACTGCCTGCCCGCTGCCAATGGTACCCAGCTGGGTGGGGGGTTGAGCCTCAGAGCTCCCTAGTCCCCCAGAAAGGGGATGTGTACATAGGGTGATAGACAGAGAGGAAGGGAGACCCAAGCAGAAGAGCTGTCATAACCAACTTTTTCTGGGCTGGGGTTTGTTGGGGACAGGAATATCTGTGGATATCAGGTCCTCGCTTCAAACTTGTGATGTAGCTCTAGGTCCTTCAGGAGGACATAAAGCTGATCTGTCTCTCTCCATTCAGGCCCTTTGTGGTGTTTCGCCATCAGGGCTATGGGGAGGCCCATGGTAAAGTGAACAAGCCCCTATTCCCTCATCATACCCGACTTCCTGGGCAGCACCTGCTTGGTCCCGCCAACTCAGACCAAATTCTTGAGTATGGAGACTAGAGTTACACACAGGGTTGGCAGGGATGCTGTTCAGGAACCTTGTTGAAGGAGCTAGGCAGCAAAGAGCAGGCTCTGCCATTCTCTGTCCTCCCTTCACCATCCTCCCCCTGCCTGACACCTCTGATCCCGGAAGACACCCCAAACACACACACACACACTCCTGAGCTCAAAGCCTAAAACTAACCAGAAGATGAAAACCACCAAAGCCTAGGGCTCCTGAGTCTCCCTTTGCTCCTCTCTGAATGGGGCTACGGATGGGGAGGATGAGGAGGAGTCGTCCCTTCCAGTGATGCTGCAATGTTTTTGGAGGCTTCGCATGAAGGAGGAGGGCCGATACTTTCTCACACTTCCAGAGGATTTGGAGTTCCCTCTCCCCATCCTCCCAGCCCACACTGCAACTCCCTGGGTCGGGGGTGGGGACAAAGGGAGGTAAGGATTGCAAACATACTGTGAAAGCTGAAGCTGAGCTGCCCAGGGATGCTACATGACAGTCAGACATTAATTAGCCCTCATTTCTCCCAGGCTCCCCAATACCCCAGGATGCCAGGCCAATCACAGCAGGCTCCCTAAGCTCCCCGGATTCCATGGATCTCAGTTAGAGACATAGACCATCCCAAGGGAAAGGAGCACATGCCAGGCAGCCAGAGATTTCTGGTTCAGTCCTTAGTACAGCTGTCTCCCGAGCTGTGTGAACTTAGGAAAGTTACTTTGCTTCTCTGTGCTTCAGTTGGCTCATCTGTAAGAGGAAGATACCAACTCATTCTATGCTCCCTTATATACACAAAGCCAGCTCCATATCCTTTTTGTTTTGTTTTTGCTTTGCAAACCTAGGTCCTAATACATGTGAGGCAACCGTTCTCCCATAGAGCTCGGGCTCTGCCACCCACGAGGTATTGTTACTGAATGAGTCTAGCACTTCCCTGCACAGCCTTGTTTTCTAGAGTCGCATAAGCTTTTTAGCCAAAAGCAGGGGGATCAGGGCCAGATCCTGGCTGCTTGGTAGAAACCTCTAAAAGTCACCTGCAGAAAGGTAGTCCCATCCCCTGCCCAGAGAGTACTGCAGGGATGGAGGTAGTACTAAGGGGCTCCTCTAGAGTGATTTTAGAGCCCAGATGCATAGAAATGAGGAACGAGGTCAGCACGCATCTGGGGGAAGAGCATTGCAGGCGGTGGGAGCTGTGATACCAGGGTCTTGAGGAGGAACTGTGCCGGATCATCAGGAAGCCAGTAGAAAGTGGAGCAGAGAGGGACAGGGGTCTAGGGGTGGGACAAGGGAGGGTGTCCCATGGAGCCTGTGCATCCGAGTATGGAACTCAAGTTTGCAGTCAGTGAGAAGCCCACACACTATTAATACATCTTGGTTACGTTTCTGGTGAGACTGCCTTCCTACTGCTCCCACTGCTGCCCACAGACTCAGCTCCCACAGGCATGGTGAAGGGTCCTCATCCTTGGCCCATCAGATTTTGAGCTTCCTTTGAACATGTACTTGTTTCTTTCCTGGTTCATAGGGGTTCAGAAGTGATCCTTTATTGACCCCCTGTACCCCCACATCATCAGTGAGTCTCGAGTAGAATCTAACTTAAGGATGCTGTCACCTCTATATGCCAAAAACCTCAGGAGAAAGGGGTAGGCACAGCCTGTTCTCGGTCTGAGGTGGTGGTGGAGGGTCCTGCAACCTGGTTTGCATAGGAAGCAGGCTCTGTGGCAGCCTGTTTTCCAGCTGTCCATCAGCCAGGTTCCATGTGTAAAGGTGGCAGGGAAGGCCACAGACCTTGCTAGTAAGAGCTAAGTAAGTGTGGCCTACCAGGAAGCAGCTGGAGCAGGAAAATCTAGGGACCACAGGGCTGCGTCAAAGTGGGTCAGCTCGGTACCCGCAGCTCAGTACAACTTGGGTGGATTTTTTCTTATTATTTTTTTCATGCCTTCCTTTCCTCGCTTTTCCCTTTGCCTTCTCCTCCTCTGGACAGATTCATAGAGGCTCCCTAGCCAATTAGGCCAAATTGCAGGATGAGAGCCATGAATCATGGTCAGCTCATTCCCCATCTCCCCAATGCCACAGCCCCCCAGGAAGATAATAAACAATGTAATCACAGAATTAAAAAATAATCAGTGGTCATAAATAATGCAGGATCCCCAGTTATGTAACCAGCTGCCCAGGGAGTTGGGAAGGAAGGAAGGAAGGAGTGGGGACACTGGGTCTGGGACTCTGGGTCCCTCAGCACTGGCTGTTGGGCCTCAGGGGATGCGCACCCATTCATGCACATACGCACACATGTGCTCACGTATACACGCACGCACTCGACACAAGCATGTATGCATGCATTCATCGGAGGGGAGTTCAGCCAGTGTTGGTGGTCCAGGCCTGTAACAAAGAGGCCTCCCAGGCTTCTTTCAGGTGATCTGTAGCTGTGTTTATAGAGTGGGCCAGAATCTGGGCCACAATAGGAGGTGAAACAGACCCAACCTTGCCCTCTCTTAGGGTGACTGTCTAGTAGGGAGGCTGACATCAACTGCATCACAACATACATGCATAGAAGTATAGCTGTGACCAACATCGCCCTCAGCTGGGTTCTTCGAGGAAGTGAGGATGGATGGTGGGAGGGAGGGCACACCAGGTGAGCCCAGTGGCAGCTGGAGCTCCAGCTCTGTAAAATGTGCAGAGAGATGAGGGGGAGGCCGCTTGCTGGAGGGGAAAGGGGGTGGCGTTTGGAAGGCTCAGAAGTTTGGGGAACAGGGAAGGGTTGGAGGCAGAGGGGTGATGTGGTCCTGATGCTGATCGGGAAATCTGTTGCAGAGCATGGAGCAGGTGCTGGTGGGGAGTTCCTGTTGGTGGGCAAGGCTGAGATCAAGACAGAGGCCGGCGACACTCTTGGAACAGGAGCTAGGTTCTGTCTCAGCCCTGTCCTCCCTCCCAGGCACTCACTCTTGGCCCCTCTGAAACAGATTAGTCTTGTTTATAAGACGCCAGTCCCAGAAGTCAGGACTCCCCTTCTGGCTTTAACTCAGCTCTTTCCAGGTGCTGGGCCTCAGTTTCCCTGTCTGCAGGCGCAATAGCACAGGTAGTGTCTCTCTAGTCACTTAGAGATTTTCCTGGTTCTTTCTCCTTTCTCCCCCTCTTTTCTTCTGTGTATATAATTATTTCTCTGCACTCCAAGACAATCCCAAATTACATGTAGGCAAAATGATTATTAGATCTCGGAGAGAAATCGCAGATTTCAAGACAGCCAGAGCAGAGAGGCAGGTAGCACGGGCCTGTACCATACTTGCTCTGCACATTGACCTGTGAAACTAGACACCAGGGAAGGATTAGCGGGTTTATGAGCTGATCACGGCCCTACACAGAAGCTGGATACTGTGGGCACATGGCTTCTCTTTCTCGCCCTCACTTCTGTCATTTATCAAGTCACTGGGAAACCAGATCTGCCTGTGAGCCTCACAGCCTTAGGCCTCATGGGCCCCTTCTAGTTCTGTTCTGAATGGACACACCCACACTTCAGGCAAAATGGGCAGTATTGGCACATGGGGCCACGGAAGGCACACCTACCATATCCTGGCATCATTTTGAACAGGTATCGAAAGCTGCCCATCAATGTGGCATTCCTTAGGTGAAAACCTGTCTCCCATCTGCTCTTGGGCCTGGGTGTGTGCTCACGCTCACTGGTGCGAGATAGATGCTGCTCTTCTCCTTTTTCTGCATGCTTTCCCGGGGGCATTATGTTCAGTCCTCACCACGGCTCTCACACAGAGCGAATTCTCTGATGAAGAAGCAGAGGCTAAAGGCAGAGTAACTTGGTTAAGGCTGCACAGCCCATAAGTAGTGAAGTCAGGGTTGGAGTCCAGCATCGGCTTCAGAGCCCAGGTATGGACAGGTTTGGCTGTCCTGACACTGTAGTTTAAAATACGGTGATATCTCATCCATCTTCATCTCCCTGAACAAGGAGAGGGGTGGCAGAGTTAGAGACCACAGCTGGGAAGTGAATTATCACCTGCCTTCAGTTCCACTGCCAGGAGGGGGCAGACGTGAGACCCAGAGACCCGCTCCTTCTCTCTTCCTCCACATCCTGGCAGAACCAAAAGAGGATGCTAATGAAGAAGGGAAGGGACCCAATGAGAAGCCTCTAGAACAGGCTAGCCAGGGCTTCCTCAGTGGAAGGAACACGTCTGGCCTCCCAAGCTTCTAGGCTCCTGTTGGGCATACCTGGGATATCCCTGCTATCTATCCCTTAGGCCTGGGGCCTGACAGTGCTCATTCCTACTGAACTTTCAGAAGCCAGAAAGCTCTGCTCAGCCTGGCCTCTGCTGAGTTTGTGAGATCTCAACTCACTTCCTCCTGGCGCCCCTAGCCTGGGGCCGCAGCAGCTGAGGACAGTTCTCCCCCTTCTTAGGTTGCCCCAGCACCCAGGCCACCAGGCTAGTGCCTCTGAAAACAAGAGGCAGCCACTGGGAACATTATGATCTCATGAGTGTAGAGTAGAAAGCCTGATACGTCGTAGGTCATCCGAGGTATGAAATGTCACTTTGACCCCCGGGCTCCTGAGTCCTCCTACCATCCGTACTGCTGCCTGCAAAGCTCTAATGATTTTGGCCAGGCACTCAGTGACAAATGATTTTGAGTTCCAGCAATCTTATGTGACTTGCCCAATGTCTGTCCCCCGTGTGTCCTGACTCCTCCAGTTTGCTGCAGACCTCAGCAGAGAATTTCTTCGATCCCTGACTTAGGGCAGCCACCACCTAAACACTTTCCCATGCTGACTCTTATAGACACAGATTCCTAGAATCTCCCTTAGAAGTAAACCAATTCACCCACTTAGAAATAAAGAAACAGACCTTAAGAGGGATAGGGACAGGTCACTTGCAACTAGAGCCCAGCTCCCACTGACCCAGAAGCTGCTGCAGGCAGTGTCTTTCTCTTTTACCTCAGGGCACTTGCCACCTACCCTTCCCCATGCATGGAATAACGGCTCATGCTAGCAGTTCCCGGAAATGAGTATCAGGTTAAGGCTTGCTTAGTTACCTTATTGACTGACCGCCCTGAACCCAGGCAGATAATGCCAGCCAGGTGCAGGGAGCTGAATACAGTTCCTGATGTCTTTGTCCCCGAGTCCCTGTGGCTCAGACACTTGTCGTCCCCCCCCCCCCGCTTTTTATTGTTTTATGTTTGAGTCTTGCCCTGACTCTGCTCTCTTCATCCTCATGTCTGTCCTCCACCTAGGCCTCCACCTAGTCTGCCTCCCTCTCTCGCAGCGTTCTACCCTGATATATGTGCAGACAGCCACAGGCAAGTGTATATCTGCGGGCAGAGCCACCTGCTCAGAGGCCAAGGGCTTCCCTTTGGGTCACTGGGAGGCGGGCAGGCAGAGAAGGGTACAGTGACCTCCACAGATAAGCTGCCTGCCCCATGAGTGGTTTTTAACAATCATCCCTGGGCCAGGGCGGATGGTCTCTTTATTGCTTCCCAAAGAATTCCGGCTTTTTTTCCTTTTCCCAACAAGCTGAGATTGCTCTCCATTCATCATCAGTGGGCAGGGAAGGCAAGGCAGGCCGGTGGGGGTTCCAGAGCTTGAGGGTAGCCGGGGAGGGTGACCCAGCCAGTGCTGCACACCTGTTGTTCCAGTCCCCAGGGTTGGAAAGAGATCCCTGAGTGAGTCACTCACTGATGGGTCTGGAAGGCTTTAGTGAGGCTGGGCAGGGTCTTCTTTCTCTCCTGGCTTCAGGTTCAGCTACCACGTTATAGAGTCAGCAGCCGGGAGGCCCCCTGGGCTTGCTGGAGTCCCTCTACCCCTTCTATCCGACCCCTTCTCAATCAGTACACGCGTAAGCCCTGTTCACGACACTGTCCTCCCTCCAAACGGCAGCTATATTGAGAGAGAAGAATGTGTGAATGAACAGGGTGCCTGGGGGGAGGCAGTGCCCCTCCCTCCAGGGGACAGCACAAGCTGTCCATCCTCGTCCAACCTGGCCTTGTGTGTTTGAGACTGAGTCTCTCACAGGCCTGGAACTTGCCAAGTAGGCTTGGCTGGCTGGCCAGAAAGCCCCAGGGATCCTCCTGCCTCCACTTCCCTGGGGCTAGGGTTATAAGCGTGCACCACCATATCCAGCTTTTTTTTTTTTTTTTTTTGATGGGTTCTAGGACTCAAACCCAAGTCCTCATGCTTATACAGCAAGCTCTTTACCAACCGAGCTGTCTTCTCAGCCCTAATTTGGGCTCTTAACAGTGCAAACAAACCTGTGATTTCTGTTCAGCCACCGTCTTCCAGAGTCACCTGCCAGGAGGTCTCCAGGGCAGGGGCAGAGGCACACACGCACCCAGCCCCTCTCACCTCCTCTCCCTTCCCTGGCCAGGTGGTGAGTCAGATCGACAAGCTCACCTCTGACTTTGACTTTGAACTGGAGCCAGACGACTGGACCACGGCCACTGTGAGCAGCACCTCCAGCAGTGACAAGGCGGGTGTGGGCGGCCCCTTTGACACGGGCCACCTGGACTTCATGACAGCCGATATCCTCTCAGACAGCTGGGAGTTCTGTTCCTTCCTGGACGTCTCCACCCCATCGGACTCCGTGGATGGCCCTGAGGCACCACGGCCAGGCGCAGGCCCTGACTACCAGCTCATGAATGGTGGTTTGCCCATCCCCAACGGGCCGCGAGTGGAGACGCCAGATTCCTCCAGCGAAGAGGCCTTCAGTGCTGGCCCTGCGAAGGGTCAGGGACCCCAGCGGACCCCAGGGACGAGGGAAAGGGTGCGGTTCAGTGACAAAGTGCTCTACCACGCTTTGTGCTGTGATGATGAAGAGGGCGATGGGGAGGAGGAGGCAGAGGAGGAGGCAGGCCTGACCCCAGAGCTGCCCCACGTGGAGCCACACACAGGCCCCCTCAAGCCCTCCCCAGCCCCCCAAAAAACCAGGCGCTCTCCGTTGACTACCCGACGCCTGGGCCCCACGTTGGCTCCAGAACAGACCCGGAGGGTCACAAGGAACAGCAGCACCCAGACAGTATCAGACAAGAGCACGCAGACAGTGCTGCCGTATACGGCCACCAAACAGAAAACCAAGGGCAAGAACTAGGGGCTGGGGAGGGGGGAATGCATAGAGCTATAAATATATATATATTTAAACAAACAGTCATAATAAAATTCATAAATACTAAGGATCCGGGCCCACAGGCCCCAAAGCCTTCAAGAAAGCTCATAGTAAAACAATCAGATGTCCAGAGTTTACCCTCTCCTTCAGATGGCAGGGTCCTAAGGGAGCTGAACCCTGCCGTGCCCACTGCAAGCCCCCAGCACCACAGAGGTCTCTGACTGCTGGCCTGGGCCGTGTCCTAGAGACAAGCTAAGGGAAGAGTATCCCAGGGCAGGGATATAAGGACTTAGAACCCCCGGGTTGGCATCACTGTGGCTAGACCCAAAAGGACTCCATCCTCCTGCTCAGAGCTCCGTGGAGAGACAGCCCCACCTCACACCCCTCCCCCACCCCGCATTTTAGGATTGCCCCCAACACTGAGAGGGATACCCCCTGCCCTGGGGGAGGCTGGCAGCCACAGAGCAAATCTGAGAACTCAGTCCTCTCTGATTCAGCTCCCAGTCTCAGCTCTGGAGTTCAGAATTCTCTGAGTGGTTCCAAGGTTTGTGGATTGTGATGGCAGCCACCACAGAGCTGGGAACCAAGATACAGATGTACTTGATCATCCACACTAGGCAGGCGGTGGGGAGGGGGACCCAGTGTCTCCACCTGACTCCTACTTCTTCACACCCAGCCCCTTAGCTCACCTTAATACATCCTGAATAACAACAGAGCTTCCTCTGCAACTGCTCCCCCCAGCAACAGCACCCAAAAGTCCTAAGGGTGATAATGTTAGTCACTGTTCCCTTTATTGCAGACCACTGTGCTGAATACACCATCTAGCATTATCTTACTGCCCCACTTCTCAGATGAGGAGGCTGAGGTTCAGAGACGTGAAATAAGTGGCCCAAGGTCACTGAGCCTCTGCTTTCCTGCCCCCAAGAACAAAAAGTTTCCAGGCTATGCCCGTCCCTGTTATACAGCAGCCATATCACCTTGGGCAAATCCATTTTCCTTTTTGAACCTTTCTACTTCAGCTGTAAAATGGATCTGATAGTGTTTACCACCTCCGTAGCTGACACAGGGATCCAGTAATTGGTGAGTGTACACACTGGAGATAATTTGGAGGCACTACACGCCTACTGTGGTCTGTGGGCCAGCCCACATCTCCGATGACTTCCAGGGTAGAGGGGCTGAGTGGAAGCCATTTCCACGGGGTCAAGAGCCATCCTGAATTAAAAGTATCACATGGTTTTGCCCCTACAAACAACTTGAGGCCAGAAGATGGCCGCATCGTGACTTACCCCACCTGGAGCAGAGGGGTAAGGTTGGTTCACTGCTGAGAGTCTTGGTCCTGAGGCCTTCCTGGGACACAATTCTGTTAATGCAAAACACCAGGAGGGGCCTTAGAATCTGCTAGCACCTGCTGCCCCTGCTTGGGGAGGGGCTGTGTAATCCCAGAGTGAGGACTAACAGGCTAGTTTAGGGGGAATACCAAAGCATGGCTGGAGCTCTGGCAGACCTACAGTATCACAGGATGAAACCTGTCCCACCTGAGGTGAGGTCAGAGCCCTTCCAAGTCAGTGTGGTGCAGCCACCAGCATCGAAGTCCAGTGGTGGCCAGCTGGGGCTAGCTCATGCCAGTGGGCCAGCAAGGTCCTGGCCTCCCTGACTGAACAGTTCCCATACATCCCGTTCTCCCTCTGAGACTGGTTTTTTCCCTCAGCAGTGGTAGGACTGTTTTTCTCATCATTGCAACCACTGTGGAGATGAAACCTACAGAACAGTTCTCATTTCACAGGGGAAGAAACAGGCCCAGGGGCAGGGTCTCTGAGAGCCCCGAGTGAGAGATTTTTTTCCCCTTCTTAAATCCCTCCTCTGACCCACGTTCATATGACTACGTTAGGTCACAGATAACCTCAACTACTTGTGCCCAGGTGGGCGTGTAGAGTGAGTGTGTCCTGGCTTTAGATACAGGTTCACCGTGGCGAAGGTCCAGAAAGCTTTTGGCCTGCTCACCAGATCCGGACCTCACTGACAGAGGGATAGGATTGCCAAGAGCTTAAGACTTGAAACCCTGACCCTGCACACCCAGGGAGAAAAGGCATCCTTAGAGCACACAAAGCCATCCTGGGCCCCTCCTCCACCAGTCAGCTGTGCCTCCTGCTCCTCCCTGCCTCCAGGCCTGGCTGGTGTCTGGCTCTCTCCTGGGGAGAGGTCTGCTCCAGCAAGTAGGATTTTGCCTGGTACCTGCTGTGTGCACTTTCTTGTGCTGTGGGTGCTCTGGACGAAGCGGGAGGGATCCAAGCCAGAGAGGAGGCTAAGCATGATAAATAACTCCATTTAATGAGCACATACTACGCACTGGGATTGTGTAAACGTGTGCCTTTTATCATTCCTTGCTCACAGAAATTCCAAAGTATGTCATTTTAACTTGTGCCTGTTTTCCATACTGGGAAACTGAGGTTCCGAGAAATCAAGTCACCTACTAAAGGACATGCAATTTGAGTTAGGGACCCAGTATTCAACCCCAAACGCGGCTTCTTAGCACTCAGGTATGTGCTGGCATAAGGATAGACATTAGGAGGCCCAAGAACCCTGTGAGTCTTGGAGGGTAAGAGATGTGTTGGAAGGAGGAAGCTGATGAACCTTCTGTTTGGGGAGAACTTGGCTGCTGTCAACCTGTATGTCAGAGGCGCTGTCTCAGCCTGAAACTGAATGGATCATAGATTTGATAAATATTTGTCAAATGTATTAATGAGCCCCCCCCCCTTGCAGCAGGGACATCCACCGTGTATTCATTCAGTCAGCCAACATTGAAAATGTTGCCAGATCTCGTGTTGCTTGTGTGTGCAGGCATGTACAGTCACGCACCTGCAAACACTCCCACGTTAACTCTCTCTGCCCTGTGAGAGTCTCCCCTGTGGGGTGTCTGGAAGTTGGACAGGAATGAAGAATGTGAAGCTTCAGCCTTGACAAGTCACAGGTGTATGCGAGGATGCATAGGGGGAGAAAATGTCAGAAGCCAGGGGAGCCAGTTTGGTGAGGAAACCATTCAGAACCACATCCTCAGGGCTGGAGGCTCCTCCTGCGGACACCACCTTGGTGGATAGGCACACCACCGTGTCCTTGAGTGCCTGTGGATAAGGAAGATCCTTGTCTCTGTTGTCGTGGGAACAGGGAGCCAACTATGGAGCTGGCAAGAGGTGGTTTGAAGAAACCAGGGGCAGAAAGCTGGGCACACCATTCAGAGACAACAACAGACAGAGCCGGGCCATGTTAACACAGGGGAAGGGGCTAGGGGTGGGAATCCAAGAAGCAGCAGGTCTAGCCCTCCACACACCCTTTTGAATCCCCACCTCGGTCCCCCACCTCTCCCACCTCCACCTATTACCCATTTCTCCTTACAGAACCGAGACTTGTGTAAGAAAACGGGCATTTATTGACAACCTGGTGCATACCAGGCACCAGGCCATGTCTGTTAACCAACACTAAATAACAGATCCAGTTGGGCCCTGTACAGAACAGGTTGTTCAATACTTATTTATTGAGCAAATGGATTAACTACAACCATCGTTTTACAGGTCAGGCAGGGAAACGAATGAACAAAGGACCTTTCAGAGCTACAAAGCAGGAACTTGGTGTTACTATAGTTTGTGAAACCTATGAGAACAGTGTTTATGGCCCTTCCTTTGGAATGGGGTACCCCTGGGTACCTAGAAAAGGGGATGACGGTCATTTGGGGCTGCTGGGACTTGAAAACAAAGATGGCTGGAGTGACCACATGCTAGGTAACAGAGTAAGGTCTTACTGAAACAGAGAGTAAATGTTGGAGCAAAAATGGGGCAAAATGCAAAAGCTGAAGGGCACAAAATGGAAAAACTGTTAGGAACTTCAGACCTCCCAAGCTCTCACCGTTCCTCTCCATCCTCTTGGCAAGGGTTCAGGCAGGGAGGGAGAGCATCTGCCTAGTCTGAGATGGAGAGGCCATCTTTAAGACAAGTGTCCAGAAGACTATCGTGATAGTCAGGATTCATTCAATGCATAAATGAAAACGGCACAGTTAGTGCCTTGGAATTGTGGGTATACCAAAGCCCTGGAAAACCACTGCATTCTATCTTTCTGCCCCACAGGCCAGCTAGGCAGGATGCTGAGCTGTGTTCTTTTGATACACATGAGCCAGCTGGGATTTTCATGGGGCCTGACTCCGCCCACCTGCCTGTCCTGCACCTCAGCCACCATTCCATTTACCTCTCCTCCTTCTCTGGTCCCCAGTGAGGAGGTGGTGGGGTCTTGGTTGACCTCAGGCCAACACTGCTTAAGGCCTGGGCCCCATGCTGATCGGATCTGACTCCCTGCCAGGAAAATTTAAGCTCACATACCTGCCTGAAGCTCTGCTGTCACTCCTGGCTCTGCTGGGACCTGCAAGGGTCAGGAGTTCTGTGCTCACCTTGCGACAGGGACTCACCATCGGTCCTTCCTGCAGTCCTCTCAGACGTGTCACAGAAACCCAATCTCAAGGGCTGCTCCGCCACCTTCTGCTTCCCAGAAGACAGGGCAGATGGGGCTCAGGACAAGGTACAACCCATGGAAGAGGTTTGGACGGAGGTCTGGGGCCTGGTGCCTTTTGGTTCTTTCTCATTTCATTTTTTAAAAAAATTTATTGACATGTTAATCATGCATAATAGTGGGTTCCATTATGACATTGTACACATATATAAAGTATTTTTATTAATATATATAATGTATTAACCCCTTGGTACCCTCTATTGGCCCTTCCTCCTACTGATCTCCTTTCTCATCTCAACTAATCCTCTCTCCTAACTGTCATTTTTTTTCTTTCTTTCTTTATCTCGTTTTTCCTTTTTTTCTTCCGTGTGTATGTGTGTATGTGGTGTGTGTGTGTGTGTGTGTGTGTGTGTGTGTGACTCCGTTTAATTAGGTCTGTTTACAGGAGCACGGGAAATTTACCAATGACTACATCACTGAAAAAAAAATGTTTCTTCCTTCCTCACCAACTATTAGCTGCTTTTAGATCCTAGGAAAGGTTGGGGCTCCATGAGCCCCTCTGGGAGCCCCAACCTCCGTGAGGTTTTCTAGACTCGTCCTAGTCAGGAATGTTCCTATGAGAATGGGGAAATTTCCCAGGCAAATGGTAGTAGCAAAGACTGTGCCCACTGCGGAGGCTGATGGCGTCTTTGTGGGTGTGACTGTCACCTCCTGAAACAAACACGTAAGGGAGGGAGGGTTACCCCGGCTCACAGTTTCAGAGGATCCAGTTCATAGTTTCCACCTGAGGCAAACAGACAGGAGAGTGCCATGGAGCAGGGTTGCTTGGGAGCAGAGACAAATGGGAAAGGGCTACTTACAAGGTATACCCTTCAAAAGCAACACACACACACACAGACACACACCACCCAGAGCCTACTTCCTCCAATCAGGTCCCACTTCCTAGTTTCCAGCAGCCTCCAGTAATGTCATCAGAACATATGTCTATCTGTGCCTTAATCCATTGATTAGGTCAGAACCCTCGTGCTTCAGTCACATCTCAATGATTGGATTTACCAGCTGTGGGCCAAGCCTTCTCCACATGAGCTATCTTAGCCATGTGCTGTGGAAGCAAGCACAACACATGAGCCGCTTGAGGGGACATATCATATCCAAACTGTAATGAGAAGGTAACCCAGGGGCTCAAGAAGAGTTCCCAAACCCTGGTGAACCTCTTTCCCAGAGTCAGCAATCTAGGTACGATCTCTGCTCCTTGTCCCCTAAAAACTAACGATGCCTGACATCATAGCTAGAAAAAGGTCCATTTGCCCCAAGCCTCAGGGTTGTAGAGGGAAAGTCACCAGCAAGGATCGGTGAGTCTGCAGAGTGTCACAAAGCGGCCTGCAGGAGCTGATGGATGCCATTGGCCTAAAGTCCCAGAGGCACATGGAGGAACATGGTCAGGAGCAAGGCAGAAGCTCAGCTTGGGAACTCCCATGTGGCTCCAAGACTGTTCCCAGGGGCACTGAGCCTGTACACTAACAAGAGGACCCACTGAGTTGTTCCCAGAGCCTGAGACAACAGCCCCTGGCAATCGATACTTCCCTCCAGGCCTGGAATAAGCCTGGCATAAGAGTAGATTCCCAAACATGGAGTCCTCAGAGTGTGCATCTGCCCTAGGGGCTCAGCTTCGCCAGGAGGCCCTTCCCTCAGGCTTCCTGACACACTTAAGAGCCCCTGGTGCTCAACGGAGCCTGGAAGCAGCCTGAGGATGATGGTCTTCCCCTGCTCCATGACCAGAGGACCCGAGAGCCCCTAGAACTCAGACACTCCATGGCCAAGCTAACCGTGATAACTCTCCTGCCCCCTGAGCACATCTCTGCCCCTCAGTCAGAGTTCACACTCTAGAAGCCTGCATACCTGTTTTACGTCCTGGTGGTTTTTGTTTTTAAGGATAATTTTTTACAACGGTTTGTATTTCCTGGGGTGGGGGCGGGAATTAGTAGATGTGGCAACACTGGTGTGTCATTTTCATACCTAACCAGTCAGCAGTGCACTTCTGGGAACTCGACAGGTTTCTGAGGAGCCCACATGAAACAAGCTCCCAGGTGGCCTTGACTCCGGCCCTCCCTCCAGGCCTGGGATAAGCCTGGCATAAGAGTAGATTCCCAAACATGGAGTCCTCAGTGCAGGGTCATGAGGGCTTTCTGATTCTGGGAGACATCCTGAAAGGAAGGAAATGCCATGCTGAGGCTTGAGGGGAGTGGAGCACATGAGGCCATGTTGCCTGAATCCCTGCCCTGAAAGGTAAAGGTAGGAATTTCAGAGGGCCACATCCAGTTTGAAGTTTTGATTGGCTGGGTTGTTTTGTTTTGTTTTCACTTTTTCCTTATTCGGCTTCTTAAATTTTTCTTTTTAATTTAGAGTATCATCTCAGGGCTGAGAAATGATTTTACACTTTATAACAACAATAATAATTTCAATAATAACAAAAACTTCACTTCAAACCCTTGTAACTCTGCCAGCCACTAGAATACCAGCCATGTAGACGACTCATTCCCCAAGCAATCGAAAGTCACCAGGGAGTGGATGGGATGCAGTGAAGTGAATGTGAGTTGAATCCAGTGCTTTTGCCCCATGAGATGTCTGTTCTGACACTGCAGACAAGCAAGGGCTAGTTAAATATATCCACCATAGCCTCCTTCTGCTAGCCAAATACAGCCACATAGCATCCTTCTGTTAGTTAAATACATCCACATAGCATCCTTCTGTTAGTTAAATACATCCACATAGCATCCTTCTGTTAGTTAAATACGTTCACATAGCATCCTTCTGTTAGTTAAATATGTTCACATAGCATCCATTCGCTAGTTAAATGTGTCAACATAGCATCTTACCACTAGTTAAATAAATCTACATAGCATCCTTCCGCTAGTTAAATATATCCACATAGCATCCTTCCGCTAGTTAAATATGTCCATGTCCACATAGCATCTTTTCATTCCCACAGTGCTGATGACCTGGAAGATTGTTCCCAAAGCCCTCTGAGACACCTCACTGGCAAATCTATACCCCTCTCCCTATGCCCCTGCCCCAACCCTATCAGAACTTCCTTCACTGGAAGTGTTAAGGGTCCTATGTGAATGGCCCTCAGTACAATGCCCCATGGGTGTCACATAATGATGTCCCCAGGAGCTGGGAAGCTCAGGGATCCTAACACCCGCAAAGATCCACTCCCAACTCTAAGGATACTACCAGAATACCCTGGATGTGAGATTAGGGTGTCCTCATACCGAATCCTTCTGTGGTTCAGGTGCCTTCAGCATCCTCATCCTACGAATGGAGGTTGGGAGACTTCTAACAGAAAATAGAGAGGGAAGAAGGTTGTTTCTCTTGTCCAGTCTGTTGATGTGATAAAATACTCTGGTAAAAACAACGGAGGACAGAAAGGATGTATTTTAGCTTAAAATTCCAGGTTACAGCCCATCATTGTAGGGCAGATAGAGGAGGGATTCAAACCATCGAATCCACAGTCAGAGGCAAAGGGAGACTAAACGGACCTTTGCTTGTTTGCTTTCTTGCTATGCACTCAACTAGCTTTCTTTACGCTGATAACTGAGGGCCCCACGTGAAGATGGTGTCACCCACACTCAGGGTGAGTCTTCTCAAACCAGCAAACAATCAAAACAATCCCCCCACAGACATACAGGCCAACCTGATTTGGGTAATTCCTCACTGAGACGTTGCAGGAGAGTCTACGTTGTGGCAAATTGACAGCCTAAGTAACCATCACAGAAGGGCCTACTGACAAGGTCCATACTCTCACCTCAGACTGGTCCCAAGAAGACCGTAATATCCTCCCCACTCCCTCACTCCTAGACTTTGACTAAAACTCACGCCAATTTTTCAGATGCGGAGAGTAGGTGCCATGTTTATTCAGGTACAGGAGATCGCTATCCCAGATCGTAAAGCTCACAATCACTGATTCCCCATGGCCAGAGTCAGAAGCTGCCTGTAGCCTGGACTAGGAGGTAAGACAGCTACAGCCGACATGTGACCCACTGCTAGAGACCCAGATACTGGATTCAGAGAGACCCAAGTCTGAACTGAAATTAGACCTAATGGGCCAAGCAGTGTTTTAATGAATACAATTTCTGTGTGATTATTTCGGGGCATGCTAGCCAGATGGCCAGGATGAACAAGCGGGCCCTCCTCCTACACCAGACTTCTGCTAACCTTTTGGAGCTTTGATTTCCTTTCTTTTCTTTTCTTTGGTTCTTTGAGACAAGATTTCCCTGTAGCTTTGGAACCCGTCCTGGAACTTGCTCTTGTAGACCAGGCTGGCCTCAAATTCACAGAAATCCACCTGCCTCTGCCTCCCGAGTGCTGGGATTAAAGGCGTGCGACACCACCACCCGGCATGGAGCTTTGATTTCTTAATGTCACAAGATTTGGCAGCAGCTCTACTGTGGAGGCTCAATGACAAGCTACATGCGAAGACCCTTGGAGGGACTTTCAGTTCACAGGCTCTCTGCCTCCCTGCCACATTGGCCCTAGGAAATGTCCTGAGCTCGGACCCCAGAAGAATTTTCTGTGGCTGCTGTCAGGGCGGTGAGCTAAGCTCAGAGGGGGGACGGTTGTCACAGCAGAGTGAAGGAAGGTAAGGCGGGAGCAGAGTCTCCCAGGACAGCTGGGCTTTGCTGAAGATGGACTCCAGGGAACTGTAACTAACTGTTGGTTAGAAAAGGTTCATCCCCCTGTAGGGGATCACACCTAGTATTGGGTGGAACCTTTTCTTATCCCTGAAGGCTTTAGGAACTGAACAGAAACTTCCTAGACTTGTGATTGACAGGCATCTTCCCAGAGGTGGGCAGCCATGGCCCAAGTGAGCCAGGCTGGAAGGGAAAGGTAGAAACAATGGGACCCAGAAAGCCAGGGACATCTCAAGCGCCTACAACTCCAAACGCTTCCACTGCCCCAGCTTTGTGAACGTCTTACCCACCTGCCATTAGACAGGATATTTTCCAGTCAGAAGGTCTAGCTCTATCTACAGCTTCCTCTGACAGGAAGAATCCTACTGTTTTGTAGCATTTCTTAGGGCATGGCCAGTAGATGCCAGCACAGGCTTGGTTTACCCTATTGAGCCAGTGCCTTAGCCCCGCCCTCATTGAGACCCCATGGGCCTGGGGTGAGGTCCTGGACTCTTCTGGAGGCCCTGCAGGTTAAAGGCCAGAGT